TCAAGTATTCCAATACCCGGTAATGAAAATGCTTTTCTGTTTCCGTTTGCGCTTCCACCGACTGCAACTCTTAGACCATCAAGGCGAATTCCAGCATTGGCTTTCTTTACTCATCCGAACGCTCAGAAAGTTGGATATCGTAATTGTCATGGACTATCTGAAAACTCGGGTCTATTGGCAGTCAGAATTAGAACATCGTTTCGGAGGCTATTTCAGCATCGATGCATGTCGTACTGGCATTTGTGACTGCTTTCTTAAGCTGTGTGTTGATCACAACTATGAGTGCAGCACAGCTTTCTAACGCACGCGCACTCATTGAGCTGCATGGTGGCCACCTAACGACATGCTGTCGCGATATGATATTGACCGAATCGCAAGGTCGTCACTCTATATATTGCTCTTGCCTCTACTCTGGCCGTGCAACGCTTCCTCATTTTCTTGAAACGTTCAACTTTTCAGGTGCTTATCTACCGAACACATCTGTAATTCGCGAGGCAACGATATCGTCCTGAATTGCACCGTAGGATGATTGCATAACGGCGGGCGGCGGAACGTCATCATGCCGGTCGGCTTTTGTGTAGACTGCTATTCGAACACTAGGATGGTGCTTGGGTCAGCTCTCTGGCAACGGTGATCAGACAGCATGTTCAAGGGTCTAGAAACCTTTTCTGATCGTACTACTGTGCTCAAGTTCTTCGCGCCACCCCAGTATTTCGTCACCACTCAAAAACCGTGTTATCCCTAATTTGCTAGCCGATTCCCAGCCGTTCGCGGTATATCTCAATCGCTTTGGTGGCTTGTAAATCAGGTATTTACGACCTAAGCCCACACAGTTTCCTTCTGCTCTTTGCCTCTTCTCTCGGAAACCGCTATTCTAGATTGAGTTGGTGGTGGCCGAACATGCTAAACTACACTGTACCATACCACAAACCCATTATTTCCTTCTCCTTTGTTCCCGGGCCCCAAACACCGCGCTACATTGCACAAAAGTTCTCGTGATATGGACCAGGAGTTCATGTTGAGAATGCGACTCGTGCATTTGTTGGCATTTTCTAGCGCCCCGTTCCCATTTCAAGCTAATTACCCTCAATCTTCGGACCTGGATGCAAATCGGATCTCAGGCATCCTTTATTCGCACTGAAAGCCACTGTCATTTATGCATGTTACCCCACGGAATCCGTTTACATGACTTCAACAAGACGCTGTGATTCGCTTTCCCGTATACAAGTATCACTAGCATTTTCACATTGCACTTCTTCGGGGACATGACCATGAAAGTCGCTGGCTATGCTTGCGTAAGGGCTGTGTTGGGTGCACGGGCAGGTGCATCGCTGCTAGACCTTTAGAAGGACTGCATACAGGGCTCCAAATCAGTATGGGTGTCTATCTTACTTCGGATCACGCGCTCGTGCTTACTGGGGTCTCCGCGTTCTGGAGGCAACCAACATGTTTATTGGAAGTAGTTCAGTTTCGCTCATTTTTCTGCCTCAAACGTTCTCGGCGCCCTTCAGGATTTGTTGGTTTCAAACATCAAAAGTGATTCGCGCTCAGACATAAAACGTACTGTTCACACATTCGCTGTGCTATGGCGCAACTTCGCGACCTTGGTCTCTGGCTTCTTGAAGACTGCTGTTGATCACTAGGGTCTTACGGCTTCTTTAAGCCAGTCGATCGGTTCTCGCCAGTGTTGAGTGCCGTTCGAAAAGCAAAACTACTAGTACTGTACTCAGACTGCATCGCCAGGACGATCGTAGAAACAAAATCATTAGCCACCTTAAGAAATTCATGTAAGCTTTTCTCCATGATTGATATTGCTGACACTACCTATATGGTGTGGTAATGGTTCATTATGAGCAATGTCTTGACTTTGAGTATGCCGTTGACATTGCCCTAATCTGTTACGGTTTCCAAACCCGCCAAGCAGCACTAGACAAATTAGTATGGGCTGTAAGTCATTTTCCCTCGCAACGTGACTGGACCTTAAAGTGGTGCAACTGTTTGCTTACCTCCTTGGGCAATTGACCTATACGGGGTGGTGCCTCCGGGTCCCTTGAGAGTTACTCCTACCAGGTTGGTCAAAGGTTAGAGCTCAGACAAACTCAGTCTCCTGGTCCTCAAGATTGTGGGGGTTGAAATTGGATGCCGTCCATTTCTGTAAAACGATCGTTGCCGACTCCGCTGCCTGGCCGACAGGCTTTGGAACCAAAAGCTTTGATTGAGGACCCTGATCGTCCTCTTGTTTAAGTCTGAGCGCCCTGGCAGTATCTCCGTCCACATACAACCATGACAATTTCCCCAAACTCTATCTACATCCTGCATCGGCCGTTGCGCTGATTATCTAAGATAAATAGGTCAACTGGCTGCACTCGCACGCACATTGGACACACTGAGTATTGTCATGTGTTGTGTGTCTGAAAATAGGATCAATGACCCTAATGAAGTTGTTAAGG